GAAAAAAATAAACCTGTCAAATGAGTAATTGGAGCTAACCTGCATTCCATTCTCTGGTAGGGAATTTCTAACTAGTGCCCAGATATTAGCTCACACTTAAAAATTTTGCTCTAACTTCTGTCTTAATTTTCAAAAGGTTACCCAGCAAGAAAGATTCTTCTTTTTTTTTTTAAGAAAGATTCTTGACTCAAAGACAATCATTGGCAGATCAGGCACAGAAAAATCTTTTTTTTTTTTGAGTTGGAAATATTTTTGAAGGTTCAACATTTGGTGTGAATACCTATATTGTCCTCTCAGATCAAGCAGAAAAGTTTTGGGGGACACATGTCATCTAAGCCCCTCCATTCATTCAATTTTAGAACACCACAAAGGCTTTGTGAATGTGAAATGCTAGTTACACAAATATGAAATGAATCAGTGATGGTGGCCACTGAGCATGTGATAAGACATGGTACCAAGGAAATCTCACCTGGGATTTTGGCCTCTTTCTAGAGCTTTGGCCAACAGAGCCTAAAATGAATGTCATACACGCCACAGTCTGACATCATGCTATTCCAGCTCAGTGATTTTATTTTTTCCTTTTTTAACATTATAAAAAAATCTAATTAGTTAAAGGGCAATTCAAATTAAACTTTTATTTGGAGGATTGAGAAGCATTAAGGCAATGGAAGACAAAACAAACCCTGCAGCTCTCCGGATGACATGAACATGATTACTAATAACCCTTGGGCAGGAAAATGATTAACCTTGTTATTTTACTCATGATCTAGGTTTATGTGAGAAGCCAGGATAGAGGGAAAATACGTAGAGGCTTCTTGGAAGGCAAAATTTACAAGGTCTCAAGCCAGCATCAAATGTTTGCAAAGAAAAGAATATCTCTGGGCTTTCCTGACAGGTTGATGAATACCTGCTGGTCAGATATCTTTTATTTAATATTAGTGGCAATTAAATCATTTGGAAGGATTGTTAATTTTATGATCAAGGTGATGCTAGTCTTAGGAAATCTCAAGAAAAGAGATATGTACCTTAGGTGAATTATTGCTATGAACAACATGGGAAATTTGCAAGCCTGGGGTTGGGGAAAGGCAGGAAAAAACCATCCCCCGACCACTATCATCGTTATTTTTTGTTTGCTGAGGCTAAATAACATCATTCTGGTCTTTTTCTATTTCCAAATAATTTAAGAAAATAATGCACTGCCAGGTTTGTCCAAAGTGCTTTATTTGTGTGTCCTGTTTGGCTTGCTATTCAAAGAATGAGTTCTATTTATTTAAAATGGCCAATTTTTATTTTGGGAAAAAAGTGTTGATTTTTTTTTCCTCTTGATAGACCGTCTACTGGAGTTTAAGATGCAATCTCTAGACTCTGACTCATCTGCCACCAGCAGGTTTCAGAGGTGATAATCACCCACACAAAGCTATTTGCACATCAGGCCAATCCTTCCCCATGTCTAATTATATACTTTATAACATACTGTTTAGCATAATTAGTGAAATTATGCTTACAGAACTAAGGATCAGATAATATGGGTTAGAAGGCAGTGATTAGCTTTAACACTAGAAAAATCAATACAAACTATTAATTAGATCATCAGTTACAACAAATGAATGTTTTGATAGAACTTTCCTGTTTACAAGTGCTCAGCAAGCATGATATAAATCAAACTTAATTGAATGGTCATCATAGTGAGTGAAGAAAAAACACAGATCATAAAGCTCAGAGGCTTGAGAATTATTTGGGGATTCATTAATTGCTGACAATATCACCAGTAATCTTTCAGCCATGTGGCCAAAACATGCTGAAAAGATCAGCATTGGAATTGAATACTCCTGGGATGGTTGTAGGCCCTGCAACCTAAATGATAGACAACAGCAGGTACAAATGACCTTAATGGGAAAATTGTCACATTTTTTTTCAGATGATCAGAAAGGATGACTATTATCTTTTTGCGTTTGATCTTCAATTACATTTTTAAAAATTGCAGATCTTTATTAAAATTGCAAAAGATACCAAATTGTTTTTGCATGTATATAAAGTGTACATCTACATATACATTGTATATACATGCACACACATATATACTTACAATATATACCCCAATAAATGGAGACATTATTTATTTTCTTGAGGATATTCTTTGAACACCACATACTCATAGGTGCTACATCTGTTGTGATGGCATCTTCTTTGTACGTTGGTGAAATTCTGTTTATTGATTCCCTCTTCCGGCTAAAGGGAAAAGCCCTGAAAAATACTCCAACCTAGATAAAGCCAGCCCCTCCCTCTGATTCACCCCCTAAAAATTCCATCCTTGTGCTTTCTAGGAAAGATAACTCATTTTCTGAACAAATTCCTGATCTTTGAAGAGGAAAGGAAGTTACATCCTTCTATACCCCTTGACCCCATCTCTGACCCAATGCAAGCAGAAGCATTTATTTATTCAAAGAGACAGAAATGTGTAGGTGTCACTAAAGCAGCTTCAAAGAATTTATTCTTTGTAGGATTCTTGGATGAGTGGATTGGATACTTACAGCCAGGTTGCTTAAAGTGTGCCAAGGATGTGGGCTTTGGTCCTATCACACCAGGAGATTCTTATGTTTTTACCCACGGGGAAAAAGATGGGAGATTCTGGAAATGTCCATTAGACTATGAAGAGTGGGGCTGGATTTGAACTGAAGACTTGGGGAACAAGCTGGGGGAAGGACTTTAATGGTTAGGAATTAAATTTTCCTAAATTCTTGATAATAAAGGTTCATAAGCTTTCCAAAGTCACAACAAACCATCCTTTCAGGTCACCATTGACTACAAAAGAAAAAAAATAAATAAAGGATTTAGATTTCCCATTTAAGTGTTTATCAAAAGGCCAACATCTGCTGATGCTCAGAGATGGTAAATGTGGTGGAGACAGCTTTATGGAGTGTAAAGCGAGCAGTATAATCAGAGAGCCCATGCAACACATAACTGACACCAAACAGAAAGAAACAACAGTCTACCTCCCAAGAGCTACTTTTCCATCGCTCCATTTCTGAAACTTTTGACAAGCTGATTACAAGTCCTTGTAATAGTTTCAAAAGTGTTCCTTTGCTGGCTCCCTTTTTCCATAAAAGGCATGTGCAAATGGGATTGATAAGGTTTGAAAGCAGCATAGAGCCGTGCATTTGCAGTTAGGCAAATGCCGAGGGAGACTCGAAAGCAGAAAAATTAGGCTATTAAAACCAAAGGTTTCCATTCGCAAGTCTGCAGCCCTGCAGTTGCGCCACTTAAGGCTGTGGAGGGAGATGCCGTAGCATCAAGTTGGTATCTAAATGGATGTGAAACACTACTCCGATTTACAAGTAGGCCAGTTTTGATGACATTTAACATGGTATCTAATGTTTAACAAACCTGGACCCAGGCCTATTCACAAGTTTACGTAAACTGGACTGATTTATAAATGGAAAGGCCTGACCATGCATTTAAAATTAAAGCAACTATTTGATCCAAATTACTGGAGTATTGCTTTTCAGCTGGATGTCAGGTATTACAAATCTTCACCTGCCAACACTTACATGCTGATCTTCCCTGCCCAGCCCAGAGCCAGTGAAGAAAGCCAAAAGGAAGTCAAGGCAATGGGGGGAAATCTTTAGTTCAATTACTCTGTGTTATCTAAGCATTCTCACTACTTTATTTCTAATCAGTTATTCAGCTCTCGTCCAAGGATTGTAGACATCAGCAAGCTAGACAGCATGGTATCTATAAAATACATAAGATACTGCTTTGAAAACCATTTAGATATTCCCTTAATAAACTCTGCTCTTTGGGAATTGGCCTATATCCATCTCTTTAGTTGTAAAGGAATTGAATAGCCTTAATCTCTCATGCGAGATCCACGGAGCCCAACAATACATGCTCTGAAGCTGCAGAGGGAAAAATGCCCTCTTTTGCTAACTCTGTTGGGAGAGTGAGTGGGGGATGCGGTGGGAAGCTTACATCTGTGTAAGGCTTCTAAAAGAATTTCCAGCACTTTGCCTTCTGATAGGCAGATCTTAGAATTTGGCTAACTACTTTTGCTTACTGAAAAAAAAAAGGTAAAAAAATTTATACTTGAATCATCTAACTCCGCCCCCTGCCTTCAATATATATATATATGTGTATATATATATATATATATATATATATATATACATATCTCAATGAAGATAGTATCAGGATCATTGTGGCTGTATGAAATGGACATGTGGATAATTGTGTTTTATTTGCTTTTGTTTGTTTGTTTTTGCTTTTCTGCCTTTAGGCATTCAAAATAATATTAGGCACAAATCTATTCTTTTTTCCTTTAGGCCTTTTCAAATTTCAAAAAAAGCCTACCTTTACAAAATGCATCAAAGCCGTTTGTTTCATAACATTTTCCTTTCTGTCTGATTAATACATTTTAGTTTTTCACTGGTAGCTATCTGCATAATTCAGATTAAAAAAATAAAAGCAACAAAATTTTCTTTTTCTTATTGTTATTTTTGAAATCCTATGAAAATAGCTAAACATATATATTGGCTTACATTAACCAAAGAAGACAATTTAGTTTGTCAAAAGAACCCTACAAAGGTAATTTTGTAGTTCTGGCCATTTGTTAGCCGTGAAAAGTCAGTTGTGAGACTATGTCTGCAAATGAATTCATAAAATTGTTTGTTATTATATATGCAAATATTTTGCACTGCCCCTCCCCCATCTATTTAGCTATTACACCTAGTGAGGGCAATGATTAAATCTTACTCAATTTTATTCCCCCTTCCTTTCCCCAGTGCCTAACACAGTGCCTTTGAATAGGATTGATTTGAATTGAATTATTTCACCTGGACCGCCATAAAGATTCTAAACAAAATTTAACTGAGAAAAATAAAACCTATCAAGATTATTTCAAGAAAATAATATCCTGAAATCAGAAATGGATGCTGGGAAAATAGACCTGAGGAGCTAAACAATAAAGCAAAGCTATTCTAGACTTGTTTCGTGTTTTTACTTACTACCAATACTGGAAATACTGGGGATACCTGGGGAGAAAGAAGACAACAACAAAAAAAACCCATTAGCCGTATATTAACACAGGACTAAAAATCATTAACATTATATCAAGAACATTTTCCTTATTCCTAATTCCTTATCACATTCAATATACTAAAAACAAAAACAACCCCCCCCTCCCAAATATGGAGTGGAGCTATGCAAAGCCTTTATTTCAGTTCTAAAGTACTTCTGCTCTTGAGGGGTAGGAAGCCATGAGCCAGAGTTCAGCAGCAAACTGCTTTTCCCAGAAGTGAAATGGGCAGTCCAAGTGCCTTTGGGACTTGTGTATTAATGCCAAAGAGCCCGTTAGCTCAGCAGAACAGTTACTGAAATAGGTTTATTATCTGGGTAAAAGACACAAATCATGTATGTAAACTAGTTGAGTACCTACCCAGATATTTTAACCCAAGTCATAGATTTAAAAAAATAATGTATTATAATTCCATGGGTCAGCTGTTGAAAATCATTTGGGGTTTTATTTGATTAACTGCACATAACCACCATTCTTATTCCACTTTGACTTGTCAGTTGCATGGATTAAGCTATGTAATAGAAATTTAATTGAGCAGAAGAATGCAAGAACGCATTAGGTTGCTCATATTGATCATCCACTTTATCGATTTTTTTCAACTCTTACTTCAATTCTCGAGTTGTATTATGAAGGTGGAACCACTTTAGAGTGTGACTGGACTTGGGATCAGATTTGAACCAAATCTAGTCTTTAAGCTGAGTAAAATCCCTGATGAGATAATTTGCTAGTTCAGCAAACTTTACTGATCAATGCCTCGTAATTTGTGTCATCTCCACTGGGTCTTGACAGCTCGTGGCCTAGTAGATAGAGCACCCCCTGAAGTCAGGGAGGTCTGAATTCAAATTCAGCTTCAGATTCTTACTAGCTCTGTAAGTCAGGGCAAGTCACTTAACCTCTGTTGGTTTCAGTTTCCTCGCTGCAAAACTGGGATAATAGCACCTTCTTTACAGGATTGTTGCAGAGACCAAATAACATAGTATTTGTAAAAAGGTCTTGGCACATAGCACATGCTATAGAAATACTTATTCTTCTCACCTTTTTTCAGTGTTACTGATGTTTGTTTACAGATGTGTATTACACAGGACTTTTATTAGACTTCTACCTGACTTCTCAAATCTTCTCAAATCTATTTCCTAAAAAGTATGAGTGTTAGTGAATAAACACATACACATACATATGTCTATATACACTCATGTGTTTATGTATGTCTATGCATCCCGTAATATATGTAGGTTTGTGTAGGTATCCATAATATTTATGTATGGGTATATGTACACATATATGTACACATGTATGTATACATACATAAATGTAAATGTATACATATATAATATATGTATATGCATAAATATGTGTGTATGTGAGATACATGATAGGTAGAGAGATAGATCTATCTATAGATAGCTCTATATATACTTCATGTGTGATGAGGGGAGTAGGCTTACTGACCTCTACAATCCTTTCCAGCTCTTAACTTATGATGCTATTTCATATATTTGGTCTGGACCTATGATTTTATCAGCATTAGAATGCCTTCTTTAGAAATGCCCTGCACTGATGCAAGATGGCAATTGGTTTGTAACTTACAGTCTTAGAGAGTTACTTAGGCCACTGAGAGTTTAAGGGACTTGCCCAGGGTCACGTGGCTGGAATATGTAAGAGATAGCACATGAATACAATTCTGCCTGCCTGTAAGACTGGCCATCTAGCCACTATTCCCAGGCTTTTTAAATATTTCTTTTAGATGTGAGCATTTGTTTTGACTGCACAGGAGATTTATATTATGCAATGCATAGATGCATTTTCCTTTATATTGGGAATCATAGAATTTTAGAGATAGAGATTGATCAGAGGTCCCTTAATCCAACCCACATTCGTCTATCAACTCCTCTACAACATATATAACCAGTAGGTATCCAGTCTTTGTTTGAAAACATGAAGCCAACAACCTCCCAAAGCAGCCCATTAAATTTTTGGAAGATAGGGACAAGATATAAGGCAGTGGAATTAAAATACTGGATAGTCAAATAATGTCTAAAATTAACATACTGAAATAAACAACCATTTTGACCAGCCCTTGTGCCTTACCTGGAGTTCTGTTTTTTTTTCTTTTCAAACTAAGAAACATATTTCTACTTATTTTGAATGTTCCTTCAAAGCTAAATGCCAATGAATATAAGCTTCGGGGAATGGATGTTTAATTTCAGATATTTGGCATATGCATCATCTCTTATGTCCCAATTAAGCTTCAGGTTAATTGCTGACCATTACTTAACTGAAGCTAAGTTGAGTTGGAAAAAAGATCCCTTCCCTATCATCTAAAATCTCCAGGTTGCAGATTTGAACTTCAGTATATAAGCTAATTTTAGACCTGTATAGATTTCTATGCCAGGCTGCTGAAGTCTCCAGCTGATACCTTGGTAGAATATCTCTGCAGCAGCATGACAGTATGACCCCGTATTGGGCCTTTTTTCCCCTTTGCAAATCCCCTGGTGAGGTATGATTGCAGCATCATAACTCCAGCATCAATGGCCAAAGCTCCAAATTTCCCAATGATTGAAAATCCTGCTCTGCTGCGAAGAACAGCAGGCCTTTTGCAGTCCTTCAAAGGGAAATGGTGTTACGGTGGCAGAAATAAACTTTTCATGTGTCTCCCAACTTCTTTGGAGTTAGAGGACTATGCATAATAGAAGGCAAAGCTCTCAAGGTACTTTGTCAGATCCATTACAGTGCAAAACTAGGAGAGCCCTTGCTATAGCAAGTGCTGCAGTGAAATCCTTTATGAAGATGCCCAGGGTTTTCTTTCCAGAAGGGTTATCAGGGCAGGTAACAAATGTTGATCATTCCAGCCTTGCAGACCTTACCCAAGCAGGGTAAAAGTGTATTCTATTACTGCTAATAACTGGCTCCTGAGGACTGTATCTTACGCCTTCTGACTTGGGCTTTAATTACAGAATTTTGGGCTCCAGAAAGGGCCTTAGAGAACACCTAGTCCAATAATTTCTATGTACAGGAGGAAAAACTGAGGCCTGGGATCATATCTAGGATCATATGGCTGGACCAAAACAACAGACATACATAAAGTGTGGATAAGGTAGGCTGGCATGCCTTGATACACACAGCCCATGATCTCTGCAAACCACAAGTTGGAACAAACCTACATCTGTGCTTAAGACCCAGTGTTATTTCTGTGATGCCATAATGCATTTCTTTGTGGTTCTCTGTGGGAGTCACTTCACGTGCTACTACTGTAAAAATGAGAATCATTCAGAAAAGATTGGGATTCAAATTGTTCATTTTAGTACACATCTTTGTAACATTCCCCCAAAAGTTACTTTTTAAAATCCCTATTTTGGTTATATGAAAATATATAGCATATCTGGTAAGAACTCAATGGCTTCATTGAATATCGGACTGTAAAAAAGGATCCCTCAGGCAGGAAACAGCTTTCAAATATTTAACAAGCCCAAACTTCCCTGGAATGCCCAATAAATCATGTGCTAGTTATACTACACTGGTTCCCTTTGCAAATGCTAGAATTTTTCTGGGCCTGGTACCACTTAAGAGATGAATTTAAGTCTATCCCCACAACATTACCTGTCTGTCTAATCAACAAGAATGTAGATCAAAGGGTTTTCAAGAAAATTGTATAGTGGAGGTGGGGGTGGGGGTAACCACAGAGAATTTTAATCACACGGTATAATAGAAAGAACCTCATGAGGGAGAGGACTACCACAGCTGATGTAATAATTAATTCCTAATCAGAGATTAGGACCTATGGCTTTCAGAGGTATGGCTACCCCCTCTGAGAGGGGAGAATTGAAATAATTCAATACAATGGTCCCAAAATGGGAAGATACAAGAATGCTACAGCTGAAAATGTTGGTTAAGATCTGGTTCAGTTCTGTCTTCAAACAGATGAGTAGACTGAGGCTCAGAGACACTATTAGACTGTAAGCTCCTTGAAGGTAGGGACTGTCTTTTAACATTTTTTGTATCCCCAACCCTTAGCACAGTACTGGGCATGTAGGAGGGACTTGATAAATATTCTTTGTGTCTTACCCAAGTCTACTCTTTGTGATTCAACATGTGTGCCATTTGTTATTCTACATCTTTCATACCTGATGCTGATATAGTTCTCGTAGAGAAACTAAGACACGAGTGCCCATGGCTTTGGAGCAAAGACTGACTAGCAAACCCTGCAAGCCTCTAGTGCAGATCTATCTTCTAGAATAGAAATGTCATGTCGGTTTGCAACATTTGTACACTTTGATCAGCCCAAGTGCACCATTGGCTTTTGTTGTTCAGTTGTTTGAGAATCTACATGATCCCATTTGGGGTTTTCTTGGCCCAGATACTGGAGTAGTTTGCCTTTTCCTTCTCCAGCTCACTTTACAGATGAGGAAACTGAGGCAAACTGGGTTAAGTGATTCGCCCAGAGTCACACAGCTAGCAAGTGTCTGAGGTCGGATTTGAACTCAGGTCTTTTTTTCTCCAGACACTTAGGCTCAGGTGCTCTATTCACTGCCCCACTTAGCTGCCACCTTCGACTACTTTGTACCAAAAGAAGGGAAGAAAAAAGCCACATAGTTGATAAAAACATGCAGGTCCAGTTTGATTTGGTTTTTTGAAGAAACATTGGGTTACAGCTAAGGCACTAGAAATGGACTAATGGCTTATGACCAGCCATCTTATGGCATCCTACAAACTGCACCGATAAAAAAATGGCAACAATGGACATATCCAGTCTTAATGAAGTCAATATGATCGTAGCCTCCAAATAAACACTGCTCTTACAGAAGGAGCGTCATTCTGTTACCCATCACAACTCCCTCTGTGAATCAGTGAATGTTTTAGCAGCTTTCCATCTGGAGGAGAGCAAAAGAGATAAACGCATTACATGCTTTAATTTGGGAAGCAAAATGATCCCTCTTGCAATAATTAGATACACAGGCA